AGCCAGGCTGCAGGGCCCCCTGGGCACAGGGCTAAGCATGGAGCACAGCCTAAGGCTGGCTGGGACCCCACAGGTGGTCACTCCTCAGCATGCTGGGRACACTCAGTAGGTTCCCTCCTTCCCCRTGGGGCTAGGACAGGGCCTAGAGAGGACAACTGTGGGATTCCCCTCAAGGAAGGCGCTCCCTTTCAGATAGSCCYGCCCATCCTTTTTCTATGCAGCCTGCCCCTCCCACCTGAGGGCTCAAAGGTCAAGAGAGCCCTGTTCTGCCCTCTGTTCACCTGTAGGAATAAGTCCTCACCCCAGGGAACTGGCTGCTGGGTCAAGCCTGACACAGACACACCCACACTCTGTGCAAACCATAGCCCCAGGTCCCAGCCAGGGTGGCTACCTGGCGAGGCTGGGGGAACCGTCCAGCAGACCCTCATCAGCAGCCTCTGGTTTGGGGTCAGGCAGGGGGATGATATAGTCGTTGTCACCCTCGCTGGGCTGCACGGCAGTRTAGAGGACAGAGCTGGTGTCCAGGGGAGATCGGAGGCTGTGGAATCCAGGGAAGCGGGCTTGGGACCTCAGGATGGCTGGGTGGTCACTCCTGAGAAACTCCTCGTCCACCTGCTGGTACTTCTGCTCCGTGGGGAAGGAGCATGGGAGGGGCATAAATGGTCAGATGGGACTCGCCCAGGCAGATCTGACCCAGCCTCTCCCACCTTGAGTAGGGAAGGCAGAGGGTGCTCAGAGAGTGAGAGGCTGTGCCCAACGCCACACAGCTGAGCTGCCTCCCACCTGGGATCTATCAAGACCAGGTGGGCTCAGGACCACCCATGGAGTGGCACTGACGGAACCAGCACYCCAACCCTCACTCGCCCTCACCTGGAGGAGGCAGTTCCCGCTCTCATTCCAACTTGACCCCCCAGTGGGGCCTTGGTGTCCCTTTCTATGAGATGATGACAACTCCTTGCCATCTCAGTCACCCCAGGACAACCCCAAGGGGATGAGAAGTGGAGCTGAGGACAAGGCTGTGCCTGTGCCAAAGAGATGTGTCTCCCCTCTCACCAGGCGGGGCAGGGGTTAGGCCCCCAGGAGGCCCCATTTGCCTCTGAGCAGCCTACAACAGGGTCTGAGGGCTTGGGTTTGGAAGCCATGTGGCCTGGGTCGTTCACACCTCTGAAGGAGCCCCAGAAGTGGGCAGAGGTCATAGCCCCTCCTCCTGTGTCACCAGTCAGTGTCCCTTCTTGGAGCTGCTGGAATAACCTCAGCCTCC